TCTCTCAACCTAACACACAAACTCCAGCTCCTTACCCACCAGTGAAGACATTCTACAACCCTAGAACCAGAATTTTTGCCAGAAGATGGCATGGTCAGAGACCACCCAGCTCACCCCACACCCACTTCTTTTGATCCTCCTTGCAGATTGTGGGCTAACATGGAGGTGGTCTTCTGTCATTCTTTCAGGTTTGTCTCAGCTGAACTCCATGGCTCAGGTGTTTGTTGGTGAACGTTTCCCTCAGGCTTGGTTCCAGGGTGTACCCCAGTTTCCTTAATCTGGGAGAGGTATTCTGACAATTTAGATATTTTATATGGAGGTTTTTGAATCACTGTCAATCTGATCTCTTCCCCCAAGGACAGTTTGGCATGAGAGACCCTACAGAAAGTATGGGGGTACTCATACTCCTCCACCACAGTAAGGCGGTAATTTTGCAGAGGGGAGAAGAAGACCATTGAGGACAAAACTGGACATCCTGCTTCCACCCTAGTGACAACTGACAGTATGACCACAAGAAAGATAACATTTTTATACAAGAAGCCAAAAGAGCATGTTACACAAACAAAACAAATGAAGGCAAACCCACCAAAGTCACTGTTAGAGCTACGATCAGAGTGCTGAAGTCTTTTCATGTGGGAATAGGAGAGACGCAGTACAACAATCCTTTTCCAGTACAGCAGTAAACTGGTCTGAATCCATTCATCGTTAGTGACAAGAAGAGATGGAATGCAGCACAACTGTTGTTTTGCTCAAGTGAAACACCAAAAACTAATGCAGCCATAAAAAACTCTCAGCCCAAAGTGAACACCAAAACAAATAGTTCTGCAAAGGGAAAAATATGCATCAACCACAGCAAAAGACTATATGACAAAACAGGTTGGTTAAAACTTTGTGAAGAAAAAAAGAAACATTGTGAACCATGTGAAGTCCTATGATTTTGAGCTTATTTAAGTTATTATTTTAATAGTGTTTTCTGATTAGTGAAAAATAATGTATATTCAATTATTAGCACTTCTATCAACTGAGGACTTAAAGATAAATTGCAGACACTTTATGCAGTACTCTTAATTCTATTTTTTTTTTTTTTTTTTGAGAAAATACTGCTTTTGCTTAAAGTGAAAGAGGTTGTTAGGGTGACGGGGGATATGTTCTCTTAGGTTTATAGAGTGAATGTGTTTATGTTCTGTTCTGCTATTCCTTCTTGTTGCTAGAGGGCAGAAGAGGCTGTTAGTAGAATTAGGAAAGTAAGATACAGGTAGTAGAGACAACACTGTGTTTGGTAATGACTTCTGTTGTAATGGCACAGTTAAAATACTATCTCATATTTTCATTACAATCACCACAACAGTTTAGGAGGAATAACACCAGAGGAAAAATGATTGATGGAAAAATAATATTGTGAATACTGTTTCAACCAAGCAAACCAACAACAGACTCAATTTTGGTTTAAGAAAAATAAAAGTACAATTTATTTGAATTTATTTCTTCAGAGCAAATAAATAAAACAGTCAGTAAAGTTATTTCATAGTTAAATTAAAAAAAGTGTCAGTATTTAATTTTTACAGTATAATAATAATAATAATAATAATAATAATAATAATAATAATAATAATAGTCCTTTGAAGCTCTAATTTTCTATACAGTCTCTGCTTTTTAGCAACAATTTGTTTGACACAAAACAAAAACAAGAAGCAGAATTTTAATCAGCAGATTTTCATATGATCAAATATTAACTTTTCTTTTATGGAACACTCAGATACAGAAATACAGTTATGATCAGATTTAGTTCTCATTACTAATATTACCATTATTATCATCAGAATAACAGGAGCATAGAAACTGTGGCTTACTTTAATAATTTATATGTGTGTGTGTGTGTGTATGGTTATATATCTGTGTGCTTTAGTTCATAGCGGAGGTTCAGAGTCCGCAGATCCACGTGATGAAAAGGGAGGGATGATCCGCAGAGGAGAAACAGACAGAAGGAGGGAGGAAAGAGAAGGAGGGAGATGAAGGTGAGGAGGGAGATGAAGGTGAGGAGTATAGTATCTAACAGGAGACGATCTGAGATGGGATGAATAATTTATTTATTTTTTATTTGACCTATATTTAACCAGGTTAGTCAGTAATAAAGGAGGGGAGGTGAATGAAGAGACAGAACCAGCAGACTAATTCATTATCCCCAAAACGCAAGAGTGATAATGTTTTTGCCTTTGTCTCTGTTCGTTTGTCTGTTAGCAAAAGATCTCGTGAACCTGAGGACAGATTTTATTGAAACTCTCATAAAATAACCATTGATTGTACATCTACACCCGCTTTACTTTTATAGTCAGCTCCAACCAAGATGGCTGCGGCAGCTAATCAACTTTGCAGAAGTTTGGTGTGGTAGCAGCTGAAAGTCATTGCCAACATAAGCTCAGAGGGCCAACAGATCTCACAGCGTTCACATGAAAGCATGGAGAACGTTACGCACAAGGTTTGACCCACTGAACCTCAGAAACACTGGATGGGACAACCCCTCTGCAGTCCAAGACAAAACAAGACAAGAATTAGGTCAGCCATTTTGTGAAGAGCTACCTGCAGCATTTGGAGCGTGTTTAGCTATTCTGATTATTCTGGCAGCCTTTTGCCACAGTAATACTGAGTGGGCCTGTTGTTGAGCTCAGTACTGAATACTGTGGTTCTGTTTTCACATTAGGCGTGATCTCGTTTCTTTGACGAAACTCAGTGTTCCTCTGAGTGCTACAGACTGATGACAGCATTCAGCATGCAGACGACTTTAACACTCTGCTGCCTCCACAAGTACAGCAGTCCCTCGCTACTTCGTGGTTCGTTTATAGCGGACTCGCTCTAGTACGGTTATTCAAAATAAGATTGGACATGATACACAATTGGCTGACTGATGGATGAGCCACACAATTGGCATGAAATTTTTATTTAAAATGAATTATTTTAAATTATTTAGCACCTGCTGCACATGTGTGCAGCCCAGAGCTGCAGAAAAAGCTTCCTCCTGCACCTTTGTGCAGCACTTAATGTAGAATAAACTTCCTGTTGTAGCTGATCATCTGTTCTCATGCAGAGTGGAGAAGTGGACGTGGCCAACAGCGCTTGCAGGTGACAAAGAGCAGATGAGGCAGGGAGCTGAAATCATGACATTCTGTGCTCTTTTAGAGCTTTAGAGTTTAGAAACATAGTTTAGAATTAGGGCTGCAACAACGAATCGATAAAATCGATAAAAATCGATGATTAAAAGCGTTGGCAACGAATTTCATTATCGATTCGTTGTGTCGCGCGATTATGCATCTTTCACGGCGCTGCGGAGCCGTTTTGTTCACGGGCAGTTCATTGTCCATGCTGACTGACTGAATAAAGTTTGACAAAAAAAAAACTGCAGCGCGAGTTGAACAGAGCGAGGGGGGGGAGCGGAGCAGAGGCTGTTTTCAAAGGAAATTAAGTAAATTTTACGAATGACCGACGCAGCGAAAACTGTTCGACCCAAGTCCTCCAAAGAGAACATTACAAAGATAAAAAATGAGAAGCATGCCGCTTTGAAGATCGCCGACACGACACGGGAGAACCACGCTGATAAACGTAAACATGTCGGAGTCACGAGGAGGAGGAAGGAGCTGCAGCTGATACAACTCTTCATGTGTTGCAGGTGAGTCTCTACAATTTAACATTTGTTCTGGTTCAAGAGAGAAAACGTAACGTCAGTCTGTCTGGTAGATGAAGCTGCTGTTTGTTTGTTTATCTGATTAATGACGGTGATAGAGAACGTGTGTGTTACTTTTTATTTAATTTAATTGGTACAAGCAGTGTTTAAATGTGATTTATAAATAAATCTAAACACAAAGATAATAATTTAATGATTAAGCTTCAACTTATAATTTGCTGGCAAAGTCTGAAGACACTGCAGGTATGGCAGGATGAATTGCATTTAAACAGGAATTAAAGTAATTTATTACATCTACTCAAATGTGTGTAATTAAGTATTTTATGTGTGTGTGTGTGTGTGTGTGTGTGTGCGTGTTTAATTACTCTTTTAGCTACTTTTGCCTGAACCTAACACTGTAAGTGAAACAAGGCATTTCTTGAGTTGCTGTAAATTATGCTATGATACATATTTACTCTCATTCCAGAAAACAACAACAAACAACAACATCCTTCATGATGGACAGACATCATGGACACCACAGCAGCAGCTGTCTTCACTGAAAGATCCTTAAATGATCGTCACTGACACGAGGCCTCTGTTGATGGTTGAAGACAAAGGCTTCACAACAATGATCCACACTTTTAATCCAGGTTACAATAATCCACACTTTTAATCCAGGTTACACTCTTCCCTCAAGGACACATTTTACAAAGTAGCTACATATTGTGCAGGTATAAAGATACATTTGTATATATATTTGTGTACATTTATTTTTTTAAGCTATTTGACTAACTTTTATTTTTTGTTGCCGATTCATCGATTAATCGAAAAAATAATCGGCCGATGAATCAATTATTGAAATAATCGCTAGTTGCAGCCCTATTTAGAATATTGCAAGAGTGTGGGAAGGGTTTAAAACACCTTTATATATATATATATATATATATATATATATATATATATATTACTACTATTCATACTTGGTGGTTTTTCACTTATTCCAGAGTTTCAGGGTACAGATCCCCCACGATAAATCTGGACCTACTGTATTCAGTACAGATTGGTACGTGTAGCTCCTCACAAGATGGCTGCCAAAAAATTTGACCATTCCAGTGTTTCTCTAGTTTAATGTAGGGCCAAAATGGCGGTGGGTAATCTGCGTCACCTCATGCTAGTCATTTAATTTGTTCCAAATAGCAGTAAAAAATACAATTAAAAATTAATCATTTTTAAATCTGATGAAAATAGTGTAATTACTTTCATTGAAGATAACTTTTTAACTTTAATCTACAGCTGTCCATTTCTTAGTATGTAGTATTTTATTGTTATTTAGTATCGTTTATTTTATTATTAAAAATTTTTTTTTTTTTTTGCATTTCTAAATATGTCATGTTCACATTATTATTTAGCTCTGCACAAACGCAGAGCAGATTTGTCAGGATAATTTAGAAGGTCAGTTATTGGATTAACCAAAAACTATGTGTGTTTACTCAGTGCGAGACGTTTTATGTTAAAATGACATTTAACAAATAAATAAATCAGCCCAAGACATCCTGGTTTATGGTTTTACTCCTGATGGTATTGTCCAAAAGCTTCACTTTTAATAAAGATGTGGATTAATTTTAATAAACACCTCCTTAAATAATTTGATTTATTTTATTAACATTTTAGGATCTGAGTTAAACTGATGGTGTCACGAGAAGATAAACTGATCTAATAAAAAGTTGGTTTCTGTGACCTGCAGCTTGAGGTGAACGCATTAAACAGAAGCTGTAGGAGGACAAGGTGCACACGGAGAACTGGTTGTGCCTCAGAACTTTCTGGTTCTGGTCTAAAATCAGAGTAAAATGTTAACATGTAAAAACTACAAACATGGCCAAAAAACAAGGAAGATGAGGACAGAGACATTCTGTAATGTTTATGGTGAGTGAATGCATGAATGAATGAATTGGGGGATGAAGGAGTGAGGAGGGAACTCTGCAGAATAAATACCTGATCAGTTTTTCAGTAGAGAATAAAAAGCTTCAGGTGCATCAAAGCAGCAGGAAAACCACAAAAACTGCAATAAAGAGGAGGAAAGAATGAGGGATGAGAGGATGAGCTGAAGGGTGGAGGGAAGTAAAGAACATCAGTCCTCTCTAATGTTGATTCCTGCTCTGATTTTACTTGCGTCTCTTCGTTTCCTTCCTTCTTCAGACAGAAGTCTGGTGTCCAGTCTTCTTTCTCCTTCATCTCGTTTGTGTCCGTTTCCGTCCATAATCTTCATCAGACTTTCCGTCTTCCAGCAGCACCTCCTCCTCCTCTGGTGCCACACACTCCTCCTGCTCCTGCTCTCTACAATGGGAACACCAGGAAGCCGGAGAAGGTGGAGTACTTCCATCCTCCCATCAGGTTCCCTCTTTCCAGTTTGAGGTAGGCCCGGTCTCCCTTCTCCATCTGGATCAGAACTCCGTTGCTGGCGGCTTCGCGCGTCACGTCCTGGTCTCCAGCAAACGCAGAAATCACCGGCCAGCCGTTGTGTATCAGGCTCACCTGGAGCGGGAGGAAAAACGCAAACATGCTCATGAAACAACAAGAACAAGAACAAATCATTTCAGGACACAATGAATTTGTCTGAAGAGGGTTTGACTTGAAGATTTCTAAATGTGAGTCAGAGACAACAGGAACGTCTCTTCTCAGGGATCATCACGTCAAACACACACTCTGGACAAACCTAGTTTAATTTAATTGACCTAACCTTATTTTTAGGGATGCACAATATTATCGGCATGGTATCGTATCGGCCGATATTAGCGATAAAGTTAAATATCGGACATCAGCCATTCCATCAAAATAACCCACTAATATAAAAGGCACTGTTATCTATATATATATATATATATATAATGTATAAGGTGCTGTTTTTGTATGACAACCCAGTGACAAGGACGCCTGCAGCGCCACCACAATGTTATGACGGCAGCGGCTGTGGCTGAATGGTTGGAGCAGTTGTCCTCCGATGCAAGAGTTGGGGGCTCGAACCCACCAGCCGAAGTGTCCCTGGACAAGACACTGAATCCCTCATTGCCTCTGATGTGTGTCCCATCAGTGTATGAATGTGATCTAAAAGCACTGATTAGTCTCATTAGAATGATTTGTTCAACTAGCTTTGTAGAGATCTAGTAGAGTGCTGTATGAATGGGTAAATGAGGACACAGATTGTAGTGTAAAGCGCTTTGAGTGTCTTGAAATGAGATAGAAAGGCGCTATATAAGTACAGTCCATTTACCATTTATGAGGTCATGCACACCGTTGAGTTTAGACTTGTGAAAATTTACAAATTTGCACTATTCTAGTGTTGTCATCGTGTTAGAGAGAGTAAATGTCATGAATAGATTTCACATTAGACATAATCCAAGTTGAAGTGTTACATCATTTTCAGCCCTCTTTTTGGTATCTCCATTTGGTAGCAGGCCACATTGACAAGGACCATGCAGAACAATGTCGTATTTTCAGTCCACAGCAGAGAAAACGCACATCCTGACTTTAAAAACCAAACTGTCCCTTTAAGAACGATCTGAGCTCCATATGTCGGGATAAAAAAACGAGTCAGCATTAAATCAACAGACTTGTCTTGTTGTAGAAGAGGAATACACACAGTGTCGAACTAAATCTTTCAACAGGGAGTAACGTCTTCATAAAGAAAGACGTGTCTGTCAGTGATCACCCCACCCCACAGCTTTCATCACTTCTCCTCTGAACAACAGCAGAAACCTCCTGAGGTTTGATTTCTCTCCTGTTCTTCTCTTTAAATAAAAACCTGTTCTGAGCTGCCTTTGGTAACGCTGCAGCACTAAAACAAACGTCTGTTTTATGCAGAAAGACAGCGTCTGAGCCGTGTGGGATTACAGAGGAGACTCACTGCATCCTGAGAAGAAAAGAGAAACAACACCATGTTTCTTGTAGCTCATCTCTGAAGCACTTTGTACTGATCTTGTTTCTACGAGACGGTGTGCTGCTGAATGAAGCTGGCTTTACATTCTCTGCTGGAGCGTTTATCTCAAATCTTTTTAAACGTCTTACAGAAACATTAGATGGTACGCTGTGAAGTAAAGCCTCATGGCTTTGTGAAGACGTGACAACATCGCACTGGTTATACATAGACACAATAATTACACACGACCTGTATCAGAGTGAAATGCTGTCATGAGTAAGTAAAATTGTAAATCAATAATATTGGTCCTTATTTTTCTTCTAAAGTTTTACACGTCAGAAGATACTAACCACTTGTCATCGAGCGTTTACCATTATTTAAATATTAATATTTAATGTTCAGAGATATGAGCTCCATCTCAGATTCTACTTTGTGTGTTTTTTTAAGTCTGATAATCACTTTAAAAAACACAACTTTGTGCGTCCATGAGTTTTGGTTGATGCCAGGAGCAGCACCCAAAGGAAAGGGAGCCTTAGAGCTCTCACTCTGGCTTAACAAATCTGGTTCGTAAGACATGGACTGTCCCCTCTCTGGCCCGGAAGCAGCCTGAGGTTGTGCTTGATTTATTTATTTATTTAATTTTTAAACAGGAAAAGATTAAAATAAATCGGGCCTAATTTCTATTTTACAGCAGATTCCTGTTCTGCAGAAAATAAAAAACACACACATATCCAGCATCACATCGCATTAATAGACACACAGACATACCACATTATAAAATACAAGAAGAGCAGCATTTGCACGGCAGACACGTAACGGTGATTGCAAAAGAAGTTGTCCAACAGATGACGTGCACGAGTCTTCTTAAAAAGTGCCAATGTTGAGATGGACTTCATATGTTGTGGAATGTCATTCCATATATATACTATATATACTATATATTCTATAAACATAGAAAAATGATCTTGATGTTGAGAGGTTCGAACGAGATAATGTTAGGCTCACCTCAATTGTTCTGTAACCAAGAGGCTGGACCCTATTCCACTCTGGAGTTGTTGATGTAACAGACATGGGCTAGGTGGGTCTACTTTTAGCTCGCCAGCATGGCGCCCCTTTAGGTGGGGGGATATAGGCTCTGACGGTTGTCTGTGTTTATACGCTGAATTGACGTTCAGAGTACCCAGCTTTCTAGGAGTCCTTAGCAGGGGTGCTGGAAGGTGCTCCTGCTAGGGACTCATTTATTCTGCTGGGAGACTTCAATACCCACGTGGGTATCGACAGTGTGACCTGGAGGGCCATGATTAGGAGGAACGGCTTCTCTAATCTGAACCCAAGTGGTGTTCTGTTGTTGCACTTCTGTGTTAATTCCCAGTTTGTGATGGTAGGCACAAACACCATGTTTGAAAATATGGGTGTCCGTAAGTGCACTTGGCACCAGGACACCCTAGGTTGGGAATGCCTGGCTAAAGAACACGTCAAAAAATTGTTAACTCCCACCTCCAAGAGAGTTTCAACCACACTGTAAAGCAGGGGGCATTGAGTCTGAGCGGGCCATGTTCCACAACTTCATTGTAGAGGCAGTTGTCTTGAGCTGCAGTCGCATGGTAGTTGAGCATTCAAGACTTGAAGGTGGGAGGAGTACAGTGAAGTCTTGAATAGAAACTCAATTGGCTCCAAGAAGAATCTGGCAAACCTTCAGATTACCATCGCCCACTCACATGCATCTTATTATGTCATCTGTATGTTGCTTCTTTTTGTACTGAGCTGTTTTTTTTTACAACCTCTAACTGTGTCATGTTAGGAACACAGTGTGAGATATGATTTTTTTGTTTTTTTACCTCCTCTTTCTTCATGTTCCATTTTCCTTATCTAGCAGAAAAAGGCAGCACCTCTCATTTAGGCTGCAGCCTCAGGCACTCCATCTACCCATGTCTATGCTGTTTAGTTGTTTCTTTGGATGGGCTGTACTGAAAAACATCTGCCAATCAGTTGTTTCAAAGCAGTTCTGTAGGGCCTCATCAGCCACGTTGTCCCACTTGTCAATATCCCTGGAAACCAATTTTTCCTGTATGAGCATTTGTTTGTAAGCAGGTAGCAGCAGGATAGCACTGTGGTCTGTATTATCAAAGGCAGGACAGAGGAGGGATTTGTAACTTTCTTTGAACAGGGTGTAGCAATGGTCCAGGATCTACTACCCCCTGGTGGGGAAAGACATAGATATGTGCTGGTAGAATTTAGGTAAAACCGCCTTCATGTTGACAAAACTGGTTTGTTCCACTTTGGAGTAAGCTGTTGGGGGAAGAATCAGTTTTGTGTTGTGTGTTTCCTTGACTGATGAAGCCTTTCGGATCGAAGGCGAAACGTTTCAGCACAAAAAAAGAAACTGTCCAGATGACCTGACTGAATAATGTTGGATGCCTTCATGTTGGTTCTATTAAAGGCCCTCAAAACAATGAAGGCAACATCAGGATGTGTATTTTCAAGTGCATTTATGGACCTTTTCCATTAGTAACGGTACAGCACTGTTCGACTCGACTGTACAAATCACAAAACAAGAATTAAACTTTAAAGCTAAGATGAAATAAAATAAAATAAATTGTATACAATAAACAAAACCACATATCTAAATTGAACAATGAAAGTAGACACAACAAGTGCAAATGCATCAAATGATGAAGAAAACCTATACAATTTTAACTATAAATGTTTTTGTAGAATCTGATTCATCCGATATTTTATGGTGAATTAAAGTTCATTGGAAGTTCATTAGCAGGATTTATATATATATTGTTTAATTTGATCATTTTAATAATCTGCATTCTTTTGAATTTACCAGAAACTTTAAAATAATTTCTCACCCTGTACTGAAACATGTTTCAGGGTCTTACCACCAGTGTTACCGCCACCAGCTGGTAAGGTGCGTGATGTCAATTTGAACCTGCCCACTAGAACAGTTACTGAAAGCATAATGGAAGCACAACGTGTACCGTACCGAGCCGAGTCGAGCGGTACTATACCGGTACAAAAGATACTAATGGAAAAGGGGCATTATAGTTCCATACAACTCATGTAGGGCTTGGGTTTTAGCAGCTGAGGTGGGATGTAGATTACTGTGAGGATCGCTGAGCTGAGTTCTCTAGGCAGATAAAAGGGTCTGATTTTAAAAGTAAGCAACTACAGAGCTGGTGTGCAGTTGGTTGTTAAAATATGTGCATCTGTTGCCCACAAAGAGTTAATCATAAAGCACACTCCCCCTCCGCAAGACTTGCCTGAGTCCTCAGTTCTCTCAAGCTGGTAGATAGAGAAGTTGTCCGGAGTTACAGCACAGTCAGGGATGGACGGCTCCAGCCATGATTCCGTAAAGGCAAAGACACAGCAGTTCCTCATGTCCCATTCATAATAAATCTGTGTTCACAGGTCATCCAGTTTATTCCTCAGAGAGTGAACATTTGCAAGCAGGATTGAGGGGAGAAGGGGTTTGCTGCTTCTCTGGTGGGTCCTGCCCAAAACAGCAGCTCACTTCCCTCTCAGTGTTTTCCTCTTACGGCACCCAAGTAAACAAAGGACCCAGGGGAAAATGTCCACAGCTCTCAAAAGTCGGCTTAAAGTCCTTATTCAC